TAAAATAATAATAAATTTTAAAAAACAAGATAAGTATTTACCCACTTTTTGGTGAATCAGCGAGCAATGGTGGCAGTGGGTCAAATCAAGGAATAAATGTTTGCAAGGCAAACATTGTCAGGAGCACCTCTGTAAGCTCACCCCAAGGGCCATTCCGACTATCGCGCTGGGCTAGCTAAAGGGAAGCCATCTTGCTTCCAGACTGCTTTCAGTTTGTTCTGTCGTAAAAGTTTAGAATTAACCTGCTTGCTTACACTGCTGTTGGACACAAGGTTAGAAAATAACTTTGAGGACAAACAGATCAAGAGTCCAGTATAGGCCAACCACAGACTGCTGATGACAAGATCCACCAGACGACCTATTGTTTACTGATAACCACCAAGCGAGTCATGCTGACTTGCACAAAGCTTGCTTTCTGCCACCAACCCCCTTTACCCCTTCTCTTTATAAGTTGTTCAGTAAGCAGAGGAGATGAGATAGTCTTTGGGACAAGAGTTCCCCATCTCCTCAAGATGCTGCCACTTGAATAAACCACCTTTCCTTCACCACCCCTCATCTGGTTCTATCTGGTTCTCAAGTAGTGGGCAGCCGAACCTGCATCCGGCAACACAGCCATTTGTATTCAGTCATTCATTTATTTTCTAACCTGCTTAATCTAGTTCAGAGTCACGGGTGGCCAGAGCCTCTCCCAGCAGCCCAAGGCCAAGGAGGGAACCAGCCCGGGACAGGCTGTCCCATGGGAGGGCACACTCATTCACACACACTCACACTCACACTAGGACCTTGTAGACAAACCACAGAGCCTCCCGTGCACAGCTTTGGGGTGTGGGAGGTATCAATGGGGGAAAAAAAAACTCTCTAAAACAATCGTAAAGAGATTGAGCCAAATTTGAGGACCATGACCCAGAGCCACACCCAAGAAGCCTTGAGCAAGTGGACTTGCTGTGGCTGGGTTACAGTTTGGTTTTATACATTTTAGGGAGACAGGGGTTACAGGTAAAGTCATAAATCAATATGTGGGAGGCATACATTGGTTTGGCCTGAAAAGGTGGGCCATCTCGAAGGAGGGTGAGGGGCTTACAGGTTATAGGTGGGTTTGAAGATTCTTTGGCTTATAATTGGTTAAAGACATGAAGCTTTGTCTAAAGGCTTGGAATGTTTCAACATAAGGACCTGTTTATCAGAGATAAGCCATCGGACGTACATTTGTTGTGTACATTGAGGACCTGCAGGCTTGTCTTGCATACCCTTAGGCCCGTTAATGGGTTACAAAGGATGTCTCCAAGAAGGGAGGGGGGGCATGATGAGGCAAGTCTGACCTCCCTCCTCCTGGCAGACAATTTAGTTTTAGGATATTCCTTTGGCCACGAAGGGGTCCATTCAGTCAGCCGGTGGCAGGGTGAGCCTTAAAATTTTATTTTAGTTCATAGAGGAAACAGTGTCCCCAGGGAAAACCCATGCAGACATGAGGAGAATATGCCAACTCCACACAGACAGTGGCCCTGTGGGAAGCCAATTTTTTTCTTATCAATGCTATAACGACATTGAAGGAAGGGATGTGACTTGAGGACCTGCTGTACTTCCTGTGTGATTCACCTCTTCAGCTTCTCCTACGTTACAGCTCATTCCTTATCTTTCCTTTTCAAACCTTCAGTTTTTTTCTCATGTTTCTTTATGAAATACTTTCTATAGTTTTTTGGGATATTGTTTACCTATTAATTGTTATTGATTATGTATCTTAATAATTACCTAAAATGAACCCTAGTTCTCAAAGGCCCCACGGAGACTGTTCTCAGTAGCTCAGTGAACGAGAGCTGATACCCTTCTACCTGCTGTCACAAAGTAGCAGGTACCAAATGAGTAGTACAAAATCACAGCCCTTAAAAATTTCCCAGTGGTTCTTAACTCTGGCTGCACATAGAATCATTTGAGCCCTTCCTCTAACTAAATCAAAATCTCTGCTGGTGGGACCTGGGACATGGTTGTTTTTCCAAAGATTCCCGGGTTATTCTGTCGAGCAGGCAGTGTAGAAAACCACCGATCTAGTTGGGAAAGAGGCGTATATAAATTAAGTGTAATGCTTTGATAGAGGTATGAACTAAGTGCTATTGAAATAATAAATTCTACTTGGGGCTCAAACAGAATATAAGCTCCATGAAGGCAGAAATCTTTTGTCTCCTTTGTTTATTGATACACTGCAAGCCCTAGAACACGCCTAGCATAGCCACTCAATTCATATTGTTGAGCTGTTGTTTTAAGAGTGAACAAATAGGCTGGGTGCCATGGCTCACGCCTGTAATCCTAGCAATCCGGCAGGCTGAGATGGGGACGATCTCTCGAGTTCTGGACTTCAAGACCAGCCTGAGCAAGAGCGAGATGAGACCCTGTCTCTACTAAAAATAGAAACAAAAAAATTAGCCAGGCATGGTGGTGAGCACTTGTAGTCCCAGCTACTCAGGAGGCTGAGGTAGGAGGATCCCTTGAAGTCCAGGAGTTTGAGGTTGCTGCGAGCTAGGCTGACGACATGGCATTCTAGCTCAGGCAACAGATTGAGAATCTGTCTCAAAAAAAAAAAAGGAGTGAACAAATAGAATTTCAGCAAGACACTACGGAAAAGGCATTCAAAGTAGAGGCACTACAAGAAGAAAAAACACAAGAAAGTAAGGGTAGCATATGTGGGAAGAATTTCCAATAGTTGACTAAAGCTAGATTAATGATTGTACAATGGAGACTAATATAAAAGTGCTTTGATTTCAGTGCTAAGGAATTTGTTCTGTAGTGTGCAAAAACTGATAAAGTATCAAAGAACAAAACAGTACACAATTTATAGTTTTCAAAAGTAACA